CGCTGTTAAAGTGCTACATTCAATATGCCAGCAAGTTTGGAAAACTCAACAGTGGCCAGAGGATTGGAAAAGATCAGTCTACATCCCAATCCCAAAGAAGGGCAGTGCCAAAGAATGCTCCAACTACCGTACAATTGCACTCATTTCCCACTCTAGCAAGGTTATGCTCAAAATCCTACAAGATAAGCTTCAGCAGTATGTGGACCGGGAACTCCTAGAAGTACAAGCTGGATTCCGAAGGGGCAGAGGAACTAGAGACCAAATTGCTAACATGCACTGGATTATGGAGAAAGCCAGAGAGTTCTAGAAAAATACTGTATCTACTTCTGCTTCATTGACTATGCAAAAGCCTTTGACTGTGTGGACCACAGCAAAGTATGGCAAGTCCTCAAAGAAATCGGAGTGCCTGACTACCTTATCTATCTACTGAGAAATCTATATGTGGGATAGGAAGCAACAGTTAGAACTGGATATGAAACAACTGATTGGTTCAAAATTGGGAAAGGAGTATGACAAGGCTGTATATTTTCCCCTGACTTATTTAACTTAGAATACATCATGTGGAAGGCTGGACTGGAGGAATCCCAAGCCGGAATTAAGATTGCTGGAAGAAATATCAACACCTCCGATATGCAGATGATACAACTCTGATGGCGGAAAGTGAGGAGGAACTGAAGAACCTTGTAATGAGGGTGAAAGAGGAGAGAACAAAAAAAAGGACTGAAACTCAACATCAAAAAAACTAAGATCATGGCCACTGGTCCCATCACCTCCTGGGAAATAGAAGGGGAAGATATCAAGGCAGTGACAGATTTTACTTTCTTGAGCTCCATGATCACTGCAGATGGAGACAACAGGCCAGAAATTAAAAGACGCCTGCTTCTTGGGAGGAAAGCGATGACAGACCCTGACAGCATCTTAAAAAGCAGAGACATCACCTTGCCAACAAAAGTCTGCATAGTCAAAGCTATGGTTTTTCCTGTAGTGATGTATGGAAGTGAGAGCTGGACCATAAAGAAAGCTGACCGCCAAAGAATTGATGTCTTTGAATTGTGGTGGTGGAAGAGGCTCTTGAGAGTCCCCTGGACTGCAAGGAGGACAAACCTATCAATTCTAAAGGAAATCAACCCTGAGTGCTCACTGGAAGGACAGATCCTGAAGCTGAGGCTCCAGTACTTTGGCTATCTCATGAGAAGAGAAGACACCTTGGAAAAGACCTTGATGTTGGGAAAGTGTGAAGGCAAGAGGAGAAGGGGACGACAGAGGATGAGATGGTTGGACAGTGTCAATGAAGCAACCAACATGAATTTGACACAACTCCGGGAGGCAGTGGAAGATAGGAGGGCCTGTCGTGCTCTGGTCCATGGGGTCATGAAGAGTCGGACACGACTAAACGACAAACAACGACAAGACCCACAGTACTAACACGGAATTCTCTCCAAACATCCTCCTCCTAATTCAGTTATTGTCAATGCAGTGCAAAAATGTGAACGTAATCGTTCTAACACCACTCCAAACAATAAATAGAAAGTTAGACATTATTAAACATGGAATTTACTCTCTCGCATCTTTCACTTATGTGCTGCTGTGAACGGGAGCCTATCACAGATTTCTCTGGAACAAGGCCCTTCCGTCCCTACAGTCGGCCTCTGGAGAGTACAAATCTCGGGGTCTCGCCTTTCACCAAGAGGCTATGGCATTGACAAGAGCGCATCACAGCACGACATATAATTGAGGCAGCTTCTAAACATATGGCCACAGCTGTAGCCTTTCATAGACATGCCTGGCTACTTTCCGCGAGTATCTCAGAGGACTCTAGGATGCGAATTGAGGACTTACCTTTTGACGGTGCTGGTGTGTTTGATGAGAAAACAGACGAGATTCAGGAGAACCTACAAAAGATGAGAAAAACAGCACGCTCCTACAATACTCAGACGTATTACAGGCCTCAAAGGTATCAGTGGCGTCATCCATATCCCTTCCACCAGTAAAGTCTTTCCCAAAAAAAGCAATGTTACTTACCTCAATCATCTTCCATGTTCCAACCTCATCAGCACACTCAGAGAGAGCGCCCTCGCCAATCCTCCTGGCACCCTGAGAAAAAGAGCAAGCAGAACCTCTGACTCTCCTATCCCTTCCCTTCACCACCCGCCTCGCATCCCATTTCCATCTTGGGCCCGCATAACCACAGATTCGTGGGTCCTGTCAATAAGATCTATCGGGTACGTGATAGAATTCGTTTCCGTACCACCAGCACCATAGATCGTCATAACTTCACCATCCACTGCTTTCAAATTAGAGATTCAATCACTCCTCTCAAAGGAGGCTATTTCACTCATCATTCCGAGTGCTTCTGACCCGGGATTCCTCGTTCCAAAAAGAAATGACAGTCTACGTCCCATTCTCGACCTCCGCAACCTCAATTACTTCATTATTCTAAGGTGCTTTCACATGGTGACTCTAGAAGACATTCTTCCCCTTCTACAAGAGGGAGACTGGTTCTCTGTCATCGACCTGAGTGATGTCTATTTTCATATCACCATCGGACAAGACCACCCCAAATTTCATTGCTTCACTTGGTCAGACCAGCTATGAATTCAACACCCTACCGTTCGGCCTCTCCATGTAGCAGCGCACCTTCATACCTTGGGAATTTTGGTGTTTCTGTACATTGACAACAGGTTACTTGTGGCTCAATCACGTGTGCAAGCTCTGAAGGGCATTGCTGTCACTCTTTCTTTACTGGCAGATCTGGGCCTCAAGGTCAACGTCAACAAGCTAGTACTAACTCCCTCTCAAAGAGACACGTACATAGGCACGGTTCTAGACTCACATCACACAAGGACTTTTCTCCCTTGAGAACATGCAATCAAGATACGTACTCTTGTCAGCCACTTCCATCCTCACGTGCTGGTCACTGCTCATCAGGTACAATGCCTCCTCGTCCTCATGGCCTACACCACATCCGTTATTCAGCATGCCTGACTGAAGATGTGCTCGTTACAATCGTGGTACCTATATTTGACCCTCTTCTCGACCCACCCACTTTCCAGAAGTTTGCTTGTCAGAATGATCTCTTGACGGCTCTGACTACCCTCTGAGCAGTGTTGGCCTTTCTTTCTTATCTTTTTGACTGCCATCTATCATTATCTACAATCAATGTCGGCTATTGTGGCTTACCAATCACAGGTCTCAGATGCTGCCTTGTTATTCAGTCATCCCACATTGAAGCGGTTTCTACGGGGTGTAGCTAATCTTCATCCATCCAGGCCCTCTCCAACGCCACAATGGTTGTTACACACTGTCCTCCGGTGCTTGTCACTGCCGCCCTTTGAACCTCTTGCAACTTCCTCCAAGCGTTTGCTCTCTTTTAAAATGTTTCTCGTAGCCATCACATCTGCCCATAGGGTGTCGGAACTGGCGGCCCTGTGTGTAGACCCTCCATTCCTTCAGTTTCATCCAGATAAGTCACAGTGTATCCAGACATCTCTTTCCTTCCTAAGGTCATTTCTGATTTCCACGTCCACCAACCTATTATCCTGCCTACCTTCTTCCCATCGCCATCAACAGGTGTTGAGCGATCCCTCCATCTCCTAGATTTGAGAAGGGCCCTCGCCTTTTATGTCAAAAGAACTACCTCTTTTCGTAAGTCTAAAAGGCTATTTGTTTCCCCTCATTCACCACATAGAGGTGCACAGGTGTCCCCCCAAACTATCTCATGATGGATTGTGTGGACTGTACGCCTCACATATTAGCTTGCCCAAAAGCCTCTGCCTACCAGTGTCAAGGCTCACTCCACCAGGCAATGGCCACCTCCATGGCTTTTCTTCGAGGCGTACCAGTTCCAGATATTTACAAGGCTGTCACTTGGTCAACTCCGTCAACATTTGCATCCCATTATCATTTTGAGGTAAGGGCCAAGTCAGATGCGGCTTTTGGTTGTGCAGTCTTGTCTTTGGTTTTGCCGTGAGGTCCCTCCACCTGTATGGTAAGCTTGTTAATCACCCACTAGTGTGCATTCGCAGAGACCACGAAGAAGAAAAAGAGGCTACTTACTTGTAACTCTGATTCTTTGAGTGGTCATCTGGGAATCCACACTTCCCGCCTGTCCTCTCCTCTGTCCGTCATGTCTGTCTTATTATTTCAGGCAGTGGCGGGCTTTTTGGGTACTGAGGTAATCACCAGGATGAGTGGACCACGTGTACTGGGGGGTCCTAGTGAACACATGTTGAGCTCTAGAATATTCCGGAGACCTCTGCACAAGTGCAGATTAAACCCATTAGTGTGAATTCACAGATGACCACTCGAAAAATCAGAGTTACAGGTAAGTAACCTCTCTTTCTTGCCAGCAGCGTAGTACCATGTCACATAAGGAAACAACTTCCAGTCACTGACTGTCCCAGGCCTGCTCCTGCCCTGACCCTTCCTTCCTTCCTCTTTCCAACCTACTATTCAGTTAACACCCTGTGTTGTCCTTTCTCCTAGACCCAGGAACTGCAGTGGAAAGAGGAAGAGCTGAAGCGCAAAGATAATTTCTATAAGGAACAATTGGCTCGCATTGAGAAGAAGGTGAGGCAGTGTTGTCTTTTATTTGCAGTGGCTGAATGCTAACAGGCTCAGACGTCCAGGTGAGTGGATTGGGACAGAAGAGAAATGAGAACGATTGTGCTGAAACCTGGAACTGTCAGGCCCTATTATGTATCCCATGGGCCCCTCCTCCCCATCACACACTCTTAAACTGCTTCACAAGCTGAACCTTTTAAAGAACTTGCATTTAAAAGATAATTGGTTTTTAACCATACAATTTAAAAAAAACACACATTAGTTTATAATTCACGGTGTCCATCCCATCGCATGCCACTGTGGGGTTTAGTTGAAAGCAAAGTTACCTTTTAAAAATTCTCTTTGTGAAAAAAAAACCCGTGGCTTGGAAAAAAAGCTGAAAGTAACCTCAGATCATTCTATACATATGAATTAAAGTTGTTATTATTAATTTATCTCTTGGGAAGCCAACAGATCAAAGTGTGTTGCTGCAAACTGCTGTCTGCTCCTTTGCGAGATAAGCCTTTGAAATGAACATGATTTAAAGAGATACCATCAAGCATTTTTTTTCAGCCTGAAATGACCTTTGGAAATCCATTTAGGGATTTGAATCTCTCCCTTGAATGTGGCGTTTGCTTCTCTGTTTAATTGTTTACCCTGATGAGTTTTTAAATATTGATGACGTAAGAATTGGAACACGCACGCTATTCCTGAGGAACTAATGTGTTTTTTTGCTTCCCAGTTAAATGAAGCAATGCTCACAGCAGTTTTTGCGTTTTGTTTATTTGTTCAGTTTTTAATAAATGTGCAAATAATATTCCACGACTGCAAAGAGTCTTTGACAGGATTTGTGCATCTGACTCCTAGTGATACAAGTGCATTTGTTTAAAATTCAAGCCAGAGGCAAATACTCTTTTTATTTTCTTTGTTAAATTAGAGGAGAAGAACCTTTGACCTTCCAGATATTTTGGTTGGCAACTCCCTTACTACTGACCATGCTGGGTGAAGCTGTGGACCATTCTTTTGGAAAGCTAAAGGTTTCTTGGCTCCTGCTTTTAAAAGATTCAAACTAATTCCAAAGCCCAGTAAAGTACTGATTTACTCTGCATTATGGGTCATGCTTTGCATGCCTGTCCTCTTTCAGCATAGTTTTGCCTCTGATTTGCAGGCAGAAGGCTACAGCACAACACAAGAGAGGCAACACACTTTAATTATCAGTGCCACCCATGGCATTGACTATCGACTTTCTCTCCCTAAAGGTTGTCGGTTTGCAATCTTAGAATCCCTGACTATTGGCCATAATTGGATGAGGTTTCTGAAAGCGAAAGGCCAGCAACATTAGGAGAGCTAGGATTCAGAACCATCGAGCCTTGCTTCCTGTGCATTAAGTTGCTCACCCATGCCTTAAGCAAAAATGGTTTCCTGAGGATGGTGGTATTTGTGCATTGTTTGTTATTTTAGCAGCATATTAGAAGAGGAGGGGCTGCAGCTCGGTGACATAACAAATGTTTCACATTGCAGAACACCACAAGTTCACTTCCTGACATCTCCAGTTAGAAGAAGATGATGGGAAAGATGTCTGGCATTAGCTAGGAGGAGGAGGAAGAATTTGGAAGTAACCTTAGAGAGAGATTGAGGGAAGATGTCTAAAGGTACCAGTTTACCCATAGATCTGGAAAAGACAAAACGGGGAAATGAATCCAGATGACCTGCCTTTCTATCCCCACCTGCCATTTCATAATCCTTGCTCATGTGTTTGTACATTGTTCTAACACTACATAGCATGTAATTGTGATTGGTAAGAAAGGGCAGACATGACAGCCCTTCTTTCTTTGCTAAAAAGACAAAAGGTGTCATTTATATTGTTGTTTATACATTGAACCACATTTATATTCTGTTGTTCAGAAATACCAAAACATGCTTAAGAGTAAGTTCACTCTGTGCACTTGGCTACATCAAATCTGTGTAATTATTTTTAAAAATAAAGCTTCTGCCCAATGCTGCTTCTCAGGTTTAAATCCCATTTATGTTTAATGGGGATTGCACAGTTACGTCTCAGACAAATCACCAGCTATAGCTCTAATTATCACAGTTGTCCATCTGTTCATAGGTGAGGGATTCTGTCTGTCTGTCTGTCTGTCTGTCTGTCTATCTATCTATCTATCTATCTATCTATCTATCTATTCTAATCTCACCAGTGCATCTTTTCATGCCCTTGTCTGCAAAGTATGTGTTACAAAGTGGAAGTGGCTGGGAATATCTTTTCCCACTGATGTATTGGTTACTGAGAAAATGTGTCCAGAGCTGTCCCTTATTCATAGAATCTCTTTTCAGAATTACGCCCAAACAAACAAGGATATGTCTTTCCTTCTTCCAACATATGTTCTTTTGCTTTCTTTGTAACTCTAAAGTGACATGGGAGTTAAATGTCATTGTACTCTATGTTATGTCTTGCTTGTACTGTAAAGAGGCCTTTTAAAATAAAACAATTGGCACTTAGCTGCAGGAGCATCATATTGGAGTTGGTGCTGAAAACCATGTAGCTGATACACATTTTCTTCCTTTTCTGCACTCTTCACTGCACAATAGCAAGTCAGTATTAAGGGCAGGTTTCGTTTCTACACTTTATGGCATTAGATAGTCTTCTGACCCTTAAACACCAGCATTTTGCTGGTAATAAAATAGAAGAATGCTTTCAACTGTTATAGAATGAGCCTAGATTACAGCCAGTGATGGAGGGGGCTGGCAGAAGAGAGAAATGTACTTGAAACAGTGTAATAAAGCTTAATTGTATTAGTTTTGAAAAAGATTTTCGATCTTCTTCATGGATAATTTTGTTCCCATAATGGTCGGAAAGATGGAAAACGCAGCAGTGAACGATCTTTTATATTAGCTGCTGCCTTCATACAATTCTGCTTTCATTTGTTGAACACACGCAAACCTTTACTTTCTTTCCCTTTTCCTTCTGTAGCTGCTGCTTTAGAACTTTTAAATCCATTTTTTAAGAAAATGAGGTTCCATGGGAGACAGATTCAGGGGAAAACTTCTGAACAGCTGTTGTTTGGCTAGATTGTCATGGATGGATGTTCTGGAATTGATAAAGCTCAACTCTTCAGGGCATTTGGAGAGATCGGGTGGGGGTAAAAAGCAAGGTGGTAATTCAGTTTAGAAATCAGTATTTCCCCTGCCTCACCTATACTTTTCCATGGCATTGATTTGGCTTGATCCCTGGTCACATGGATTCTCAAGGCTACCCTCCAGTTGTAAAATGCAAAATGTAGTGATTTGAGTGGACATTGCTTTGACATACATCATGGCTAATGACCCCGTTCAGACCTCCCTTTTTTCAGCTTGTTTATTTATAATATATACTAGAGTAGAAAGAGTCACAGACTTCCTTACTCCCATGCATAAGACAACCCTCAATTTTTAATCTAAAGATTTTAGACAAAAGTACTGTATCATCTTATACACAGAAACATACGATACTTATACCAATGAGGGTTTTATCTATCTCTATATACTGGACACCTCATAAAATTACGTAGGCATTCTTCAGTCTCGAAAGACTATGGTAACGTGCTCTGTATGGAGGACTTGGAACAGCATCTAGTGTGGCTGAGGAGGCCAATTCGAGAGTAACAATCTCTTCCACACTAAAGACAAATCCAATCTGTCCCCTGTCCAGCTCCCTGGTTTTGCTGCTTTTGTGACTTCCTCTTTGCCTCGGCCTGCTGGACAAGGGTGTCTTCAAATTGGGGGAGGCCGTGATGCAACACCTGCCTCCAGACTGAACGCTCAGATGTCAGAGTTTCCCATCTGTTGAGGTCTTTTCCAAAGGCCTTCAGATCCCGCTTGCAGATATCCTTGTATCGCAGCTGTGGTCTCCCTCTGGGGCAATTTCCCTGCACTAATTCTCCATACAGGAGATCCTTTCGAATGTGACCATCAGCCATTTTCACGACGTGCCCAAGCCAAAGTAGACATCGCTGTTTCAGTAATGTATGCATGCTGAAAATTCCAGCTCCTTCTAGGACTACTCTATTTGGAACTTTGTCCTGCCGGGTGATACCAAAAATCTGTCGGAGGCAACGCATGTGGAAGGTGTTCAGCTTCCTCTCCTGCCATGCACAAAGGGTCCAGGACTCACTGAAGTACAGGAGTGTGCTCAGGACACAGGCTCTATAGACCTGGATCTTGGTATGTGTCGTCAGCTTCTTATTGAGCCATACTCTCTTTGTGAATCTAGAGAACATGGTAGCTGCTTTGCCAATGTGTTTATCCAGCTCGACATCTAGAGAGAGGGTGTCAGAGATTGTTGAGCCAAGGTACACAAAGTCATGAACAACCTCCAATTCTTGTGTGGAGATGGTAATAGAGGGAGGTGAGTCCACACCCTGGCCCATGACTTGTGTTTTCTTAAGGCTGATTGTTAGTCCAAAGTCTTGGCAGGCCTTGCTGAAAC